AAGAGATAAATGGAGCATATGTGCATGTTTTTTATGGGCTGAGACAGAATCACACAGAAGACACAGCCAAGGAGCAAGTCATCAAATGTGACTCTACAGTATATGTTATCAGACTGCCCTTGCCAGCAGCGGCAGGTAAGGCAATATGCTGTTTCCCCACTCAACTAGAACTGAGAGTGATGTTCCAATTGAAAGAAGGTCCTATACCTACTTCACAATATTGAGCATATCACAAATTCTAGCATTTTCTAGGAATTTCTGTTATTTTTCCATTATTTCTTTTATTTATCTAAACTGTGGTAGCAACACTCATTCAGCTGGGCAAGAAGAGTCAGAAAGGGAAAACGTCTCTTCAACCAAATTGCCTTTCCCATGCTACCCTAAGCACCTCCTCTGTAACCCTTTTGTGGGGAGGTTACTCAGGGAGGAGGTGGGTACTTGCTTACTCTGCTACTCTGAAGAAGGCCAACAGTGTGAGTCAGATCTCCTCCATATGAGATTAACAAACAAATATGTATCACTTAGGTTTTTGTTTGTCTATTGATTTCTGACCTTCTTCCTTCCACTCCCAGTGTCTCTTCGGATTATAACACCAAGGATTGATCACTATAAGCTCCTGTAAGAAAACTCATTTGAAATGTATGAGCACAGGTGAATCCCATGCCTTACAACATTCTGAGTAAACCAGCATCTTTCTGTCTGACAGTCACTCCATCTTTTCTGTGACTGCGAGCTCTTTGTAGCAGAGGCCTCCATCCCTCCTTTCCATCACAGCACTCTGCACAAACAAGAATTGCAAGGCTTTAGGATACACATTAATTGCAAAAAAGGCTGACATAATAATAAAAAAAAAAAGCAAGAGAAGCACCAAAATAACAATGGTAACCGCTTGAGGGGACTCTTCATTCAGACAAATACGGTGGAGATCATACATACTAATACTCAGACGTAAAAGTCATGGAACTAAAAACTCATATAGTTCAGCCTTAACATTAACTCGAGTATATGGATTGTTCTGCTGGTATAAGAGAGGAGGTGTCTCTCTCTCCTATACTTCTCATTCTTCATCTTTTCACTCCTTCCTCATGATAAAACTCACACTACCTGGATTTAGACCTCGCAGGTAGTTTCACAGTGACTCAGAAAGTCATTGCAGCGCTTAAAGAAGGATACAGATACAGACACACTTTTCCGAGCTCAGTTTTGCATTCCTGGGCAAAGGGCGGTGGTTGCTTCTGGAATGCTTTGCTGTGACAGGAAAGGGAGGCTTTGTCTTCAGGTGCTGACAATCCAACTGTGCTGTGCTACTGGATGCTGTTCACTATTTTTCCCATTATTCATCTTCTCCAAAGATAAACATGGCAATTTGCTTGTATTTTAAAACTGAAATACACCTACATATATTCAATCCTCCGTTTATACTGCTCTTAGAAAATGAGGATAAATCGTAAAATAAGAATATTCCCTTATTATCTGTAGGTTGCAAAATTCTGCCCTTTTCTGCAAAAAGTTTAAGTAATTTACCAAGAGAAGTCTTGCCTCCATCTCTTACCAATCTCACTATTATTGTAGACAGCTCTATTTATCCTTAGAGATGTCCTTAGAAGCACCACAATGAAAACTCCTCATTGTAGAAAGAAGGGATCATATATTTATTTCCAAATTCATTGAAGGGCTTGAAGGACCAGGGATCCTAGAATTGGATCAAGTACGTATTGAAGAGAAATTGTTCTTTTGACATGTACACTGGTAAATACACAGCAACCCGGACCAAGGACTCTGTTCTTTTTCTCCACAATGCTGCTACTCATTCCTGTATAGTAACAGACCAAATTTTATCTGCAGGTTTTATATTGGGACTACTCTGGCTAGTTCTGTATTGGTCAGATTGGAGCTCAATTGTATAATTAGATATAGCAGAAGAAACTGCTTTCAAAAGAAACAGCCATTAAGGTCTCCAGAATTCAGGGTACAAAATGAAATCATGGGTCATAGATATTTCATAGGTTATCAGGTAGCTGAACTGGATAAAAGAAGATAGGGTGGTGCCAGCTTTTCTTTGAGGCATCACTATTCACACTGGCATTTGGAAGGGAAGCCTACAGCTGTGTATCATCTCCATATGGCTAGAACTGGAGACAGTAATCATAGAATCATAGAATCATGGAATGGTTATGGTTGGAAGGGACCTCAAAGATCATCTAGTTCCAACCCCCCTGCCATGGGCAGGGAAACCCTCCACTACACTAGATTGCCCAAAGACTCATCCAACCTGGCCTTGAACACTTCCAGGGATGGGGCATCTACAACTTCTCTGGGCAACCCGTTCCAGTGCCTCACCACCCTCTAAGTGAAAAATTTCTTCCTATTCTTAAATCTGCCCTCTTTCAGTTTAAATCCATTGCCCCTTGTCCTATCACTACCTGCCCTTGTAAAAAGTCCCTCTCCAGCTTTCCTGTAGGCCCACTTTAAGTACTGGAAGGCTGTTAATGTAATGTACCAAGACCTCCTCTGGTGGTTCTGCAACAATTTAGTTTATGCAAAGCCTACTTATATAAGCCAGTAGACCTACTAACAATTTTGTTTACATTAAACAGCTCTGATGACATAAAAAGATCTTCACATTTTTCATGATGAAGTCCACTACTAACATATGAAAAATGTATTTTTCACAGACTCCTACTCATCTCACACTCCTGTCTTTGTTATCTCTCCTGCCATATGCTGTCACCATGTGACTCATTGCCAGGGACTATAGGCACAGCCTCTGCACTAGCCGAATTGTTACAGCCTGTGATAATGATTGAACTCTGAGCACTTCCACTTAGAGCAATTAAGAACTTGAACAGACCTCTAAGTAAATTACTTTCATATATGTGAAATTGGTGCCAAAGTATCGGAGCAGCCCCTAAAAGTAATTGGTACAGTTAGGACTGCATGAAGACATTATTTAGAAACAGTTGCACAGAGTGCTTGTTTTCAACCACTTTAAAAATAGGGAAAAAAAAGGGAATTATTTTTTAACCCTATGCTAACACTGTATAAGAGAACTGACTCTGGCACAGAGCCCAAGCGAGGATAAGAATTAATGCACACGTATCACTGGGCAGTTATATAAACCATCCACACAGAAATTCAGTTCTGTTATAACACAGTTTTCATGTGAATGCTGGAGAGGTTACCACTCCCAAACAAACACCTTGTTGTTGCATCTATAATCTTGCTAGAACACTGCCTGCTTTCCTGCTCTCTCTCTCTCTTTTTATTCTTTCTTGTAGGCTCACAATTTCATGAGCATGGACACATTTCCCTCAGCATTCTGCTAATGCTCTGTCATATTCCACGTTTGACAGTCTACTGAATATGTTAAAAGATAAGCTTTCTTCTCGGTCATCTAGGAAAAGTAAATTGAAATATAGGGAAATTATAAGTAAAATTATGGTGTTTATTGCTAGAGTAGCTAATATGGTGAATGAACATGATTATTACTGGTGTTTTGTGTGGGCTCTCCAAGGCTGCATCTAGTGAATTGTAATGTCATCTTTACAAACAGTGTACTTTCAAATGCCCAGAGCTATATTTAAGTGCTTGAAAATGGAAATAAGTGAATATTCATTTGCTTGGCCATGTTGAAAATTGCAATATTTTGAGGATTAACACTTAGATTATGTCCTTCTCTGTCAACTGAAAGATTTTTCTGATATAATTTTATTAAATGCATTTAAAGTTGATAAAATAGCAAATCATGTTTTCACAATCTCTCCAATTATTTAGATGAATAAAAATCAGTACGGCACCTAAACCTTATCAAAAATTCAGTAAAGAAAAAGAAACTACATTTTATGACATCAAGTTAACCAGGGAAGAAGATGGATGAAAAGGTGACCTTCACAGGAGTATTTCAGCACATCCTGTAGGAGCTTTGCTATACAAAATACCTTCAAGTAAATCACTTCGAATAAGCTTCCAGTCTAGAGAATTTGGAGTCATTACATGCAAAACATAAAGGGGACGTTTCAGCCTGTAAGCTTCACAAGCTCGATCCATGTGGTTCTCGATTATTACTTCATGCACTAGGGGGAGCTCCTGCAACTCTTTATCACAATAGAAACCTAAAGACAACATAGGGAACATAATGGCAATAAAGCATCGAGATATTTTGGAAAAAAAGACACATTCTTTACCCAATAGCAAGAATGACTGTATGAATTTGCACACCTTAATCTGCTTACATCTTCTGTGTTCAGTATGGTTTCCTCAGTACAAAAGAGACGAAGAAGCACTTTTCCCCTTTCAGGAAGTACGCTTTCAATGAAGGCACCACAAATTTATGTAGGTTTTAAACAGTCATAGAGATTCAGTTGTACAAAAAGAAAGCTAGCATGGTTTTTGAGGTGAGGTGTTGTTTTAATTGAGTGTCTCACAGGAAAAATATATGTTAACAGGTAATCAAAGTCTGTACCATAATAAACACAAAGAATTGTAGTTTGTACCATAACAAGCACAGATAAGAGGACTTCATTAACACTGCTCAGTCAGCCTCCATTCTTCATATTCTCTGCTTTTGAGCATTTAATATTTCATCCTTCCTTTCAAGCAGATTTTTTTTTGTGTAGTTTCTTGCAGATGTGGGGGTTCTTTTAGCAAACTGCAATACGGAGACTCCATTACGGAAAACAATACAAAACTTCAGCCTGGATCGTTAGCAGGGTTAGGACTTTTTAACTACCCCTACTTGAATAAATAGAATAATTGTTATCAATCACAGACTTCTATTCTTTCTGTGGATGGTTCCTATGCTTTCTTAGGCACAGCACCCACAGTTTGCAAAGGAGTTTAAGACGGTTACTGACAGCAGAAAAAAGCAGTCAGTACTACACTCTATAGGAGAGTGGAGATTCATGTTCTCGATGCGTCTGTCCTCTTCCCCACATTCATTCCTGTGTCTCTACAATTCATTTCTGCAATGCCCACTTGTTTAAAACTATCATATATCTCACATCTCCAGAGAAGAATGGGCTGTTTCTTTACCCATTTCCTACTTGGGCACCGGCAGAGGGTGTAAAAGCACAGGGGAGACAACTGTAGTTTTCAGTTAGTGTCTGGCTTTATAATAATCAAAACGGTGCTCTAGCAACTAGAATGAGTGATTGTGAGAAAACCCATACCGTTAAGCATCAACACAGGCATGTCCAAGCAGCCCAGGACCAAAGATGAACAGTGTGGGAATTCTGCACTCGCAGTGCACACAGACTGTGTACACAAGCTTGCAGTAAAACTGTAATGAGCCTCTGGCGAGCCAGTTTCAACTGAGATTTTTCAAGGCTTAACAACACGATTCATTTTGTGGAGGGTGGAAAATGGCACTCCTTAGTGCCCCAAACGTCAACCTCCTAGTACAAAGGACAGGATTGCTAGTGTATCACTGGGAAAAGCTACTTAGTATGTGCTACGTATTTTCCCCCAAACTCAATGTCAGAGAGGTTTGATCCATTTCAATTTAAAAATCAGCCAGAAGCATACTCTCAGCATGGCAAATTCAGTGTAAACAGTGAAAAAATGGCCAAATTGTAAGAACAGAATCTTGTAGTGGGAAGCACCATGCAACCCTGCTGCCAGCTCTGCTGGTAATACATGGAAACAGAACCACTGCCTAATCTGCCTGCATGCTGGAACCCCACCTCCCCTGCATTCTAAGTACTCTTCTGTATCTTTTCCAAAAATGTATTTGAAATTGTTATTGATTTTGTCATTCTAGCTTTACAGTTATATTCATCTCACAGATCCAGCTATATCCAACTCTACCCCACGTGAATTTTCAAAAACTAGACCTAGAGAGACCGGTGCACAGATACAAGACTGACTAGTTAAAAAGACTGAAGCTGTGTTATTTTCCCTTATGTAACACAGCTTTAAAATTACTTCGTTTCCATTCCCCAAAATATAACTGAGGACAGTGGCATGCTCTGTCTCAGTATTTTATGCTCAATTTAACTGCTATATTGCATTAAATGATGTGCAATAATGTAACTCTAAATGCAAATGAATTTGTGTTTGGTAAAAGAAAATCTCTTTGCTTCCTTCTCCAAATAGAATTTTTTTAATAGATTTTAATGAACTAGGAAAACTAAACATCCCCATATGGTGAGAAAATTTCAAGGCATGTATTAAAAGAAAAATCTTATATTACTCAGAAACTAATAGATGTGACAGGAGAAAAAAAATAAGCTATGAAGATGAAACTCAAATAATTAGTTAACGTGGAAAATCATCTATTACAGTGTTTGTAAAAGACTCAGCACAGACTAAAGGAGAAAAACATGCATTTCAAATTTCAAAAGTGGAATATATTAAATTTAATTTGAAGCAAATTATTTATATTATAAACTTCCCTGGAAAATTAAACCAACATTACCTCACACACACACCCCAAAAGAACTGCATCATTATGATCAGAACTACTGAAGAGGTTATGTTATCTCCTTCTAAGAGTGCCATGTTTTCTTACCCTACGAAAGATTTTTCTCAGAAAGTTCCTCACTCAGTCTTTTTCTGGACATTACAGAGTAGCCTGCAGGCCCCTCTGAGCTGTATTTGTGGCCAGTCCCACTGGCATCATTCTGGCAATCTAAAGACACAAAGAAGTCTAAAGATGTCCTGCAAACACTTGCCTCTTCCTGGATGAATGTCCTTCTCTGATGCAGTAGCCACTTTAACAGTGACATATCACCCTAAAATGAGCAAAATATATAAAAACTACAAACACAGGGCTGTTTTCTGGTACACTGTTATTTTATATTTTGAGTAGCTGGCAACAATTCTGGGAATTTGGCCCTGCAATCCCAGTATCTCCCTCATCATTCAAAACTGACTGCAGGGTATGAAGATCGGTGTGTTATGTAAGCACCATAACAGTTGTACAGTTCAAAATTGCAAGAATGAAGCTTGTATGCAGTAAACAAAATACTCGAGTATTTATCTCTGCTGCATGTACCTTTTGCTTAACATAATTGAAGAGAACAGTGGCCATATAGCAAAAACACGGAACTAGGATGCATGAACCATTTCTATAGTGTCTAGGTTCTACTGTCACATTTTTCATGGGACCCTTTAAGCTCCTCCAGAACGAAAGAAGGTGACAAGCATCTGTCATAGAATCATAGAATGGTTAGGGTTGGAAGGGACCTCAAAGATCATCTAGTTCCAACCCCCCTGCCATGGGCAGGGAAACCCTCCACTACACCACATTGCCCAAAGCCTCATCCAACCTGGCCTTGAACACTTCCAGGGATGGAGCATCTACAACTTCTCTGGGCAACCTGTTCCAGTGCCTCACCACCTTCTGAGTGAAAAATTTCTTCCTTTTATCTAATCTAAATCTGCCCTCTTTCAGTTTAAAGCCATTGCCCCTTGTCCTATCACTACACTCCCTTGTAAAAAGTCCCTCTCCAGCTTTCTTGTAGGCCCCCTTTAAGTACTGGAAGGCTGCTATAAGACCGGAGCCTTCTCTTCTCCAGGCTGAACAGCCCCAACTCTCTCTGCCTGTCATAGCAGAGGTGCTCCAGCCCTTGGATCATCTTCATGGCCCTCCTCTAGACCCGCTCCAGTAGCTCCATGTCCTTCTCGTGTTGGGGACTCTAGAGCTGAACACAGTATTCCAGGTGGGGTCTCTGGAGAGCAGAATAGACGGGCAGCCACATATTTACTCTCTCATCTACTCTCCACAGAAATGTGTACAGTATGAGAAGGAGAAGGATGGCTGTTCTTTGTAAGTGTCTTGGAAAATAAGTTAATACAGTTTGCAAAAGACATACCTGTAAAAGTCATTAAACAGTTTGAGCCTGCCCCAGCCAAGTTTTGTCTCCTATCCAGGTGAACATTGCTTTGTGCAGGAAGAGTTCTGTTGTGCTAGAAAAGCCCAGCTGCTGGCAGCAGTATTAATCACTAAACTTGGCTCAGTCTCTAAAATACTTTGTACCTGAAAGTGTATACCATCCTTAGCTGAGCATCACTGCTCATTACCGGAGGGATATCACCTTCTAGGAAAGATGGATGTTTTACATTGTTACCTCTATCTGTTTCAGAAAATACAACATCATCTTTTAGTTTGGATTAGAAGGTGATGATTTTATGAAGAGGTCAAGCAAGATCCCTGATCTGGCTTAACTCCAAGTGTAGCATTGAAATGCCAATACCTTAGAGAAGCACAGAGACTTAACTCGTAACTGTTTGTAAAATGCTTACAGAAGGAAAGGTGCTATCTAAGTATCTAAGAATTATTACTCAGGGTATGGAAAAATGTTTATTTTCATACAGGATAAGACTGTGTCAGGAAGTAGTATAGCATTAGTGAATAAGACTCTAGAAAAAGGAACTGCACACTGTTTCATTTATACATTTAATAAAGGCTGAATATGACAATTAAGAAAGGTCAGTAGCCTTGAGGAAGCAGGACAGACAGACAGAGAGAGGTGGAAGTAGTTATTTTCGCATTAAGGAAACACACTAAAATATTCATTGTCTTTATCTGCTGTCAAGAGATGTTTTTTGTGTAACAAAAATACCTTTAACCTTTTAAAGACATCACACAGTTACACTCCTATGTCCAGAAAGAAGGCATCCAAGCATCTGTTTATTACTGTAACTTTTCTACTCCTGCCATAAAAAATCTAAATGTTATTAAACTTTACAGCAACACCTGATACTATTTCTTCCCACTATTATAATTACTTTAAACCCAGCATAGAAATATTCATGAGTTCTTTCATGTGGGTCCACAACTGGTAAGACTGAAGGCACAGAACTATTTTACTAAGGGGAACTGGGACGTAAAGCTGCTCTCTGAACACAGGAGAAAACTCACCCTGAGCAAAAAGGTCCAGAACAATGCCTACGTGTCAATTAAGATTCAGATAAGCCTCAAAACAGGATTTAATTATGAATTTTAGGATCCATTGGCTATGCACTGCTCTTGTCACAATGCTGCTTTTTCTCCTTACCCTCAGCACCTTTCTGACAAAGACTGGACAAAAAGATTGTAACACAAAGTTCAGCAGCAGTACAGCCTCCGATAGTGTGGATCCTGAACCAGTTGCTTTCTCCAGCTATACGATACAATGTCTAAAGCACCCTTACGATTTATATACTGTACTCACATGCATCAACCACATGCTTTGCATTCGCACCTGGTTCTTTTCAATTTAATGCTATACTTTTTTATTTTTCATTACCAAATTCCCCATCCTGATCAAAAAATGAAGGCAAAACTAGGTGTGATTTACCTTATTACAATTTTTAGAAATTTGGCAAAGAGCACTGCTTGACATACTGTCCTTATCTGGCATTCCTAAAAAAAAAAATACAGAAAATAAAAACATACTGTACATTCTTTAAGTAACAGTGGAGGTTTTTATCAATAGAATAGGGAATTGGAGGGTTCAATACTTCAACAGTATACACATTAATCTATGATTTTTTAAAAGCGAAACAGATTTATTCAGACAAAAGTCTTCTCTTGTGAAGACAAAAAAGACAAAAAGCTAACTTGTATAAATACTATAAACAGTTTGCTAAACATAGTACTTTTTCACAACTTAATATTTGAAGTATGTATACATGAATTATTGATATTTTTTCATTTAACATTATCTATGTTTTAGTACCTAGAAGTCAAATGTGACATTGAATTTGCACTAATTAGCATTGCTATGCTATTGTTTCAGAAATAGAACATATTAAGCACATAACATACTGGACCAAATTTGCAGATGCAATTGCTAGCCATCAGATATTGTCCTGGCTGACATCTAAATAATCCTCTGGCAAGTAAATAAAAGTACTTGGATTTACAGAAGTGATGAGTTCCAAAGGCTGCCCTTGGATTCATGTCTACAGCGCTGTCCCACAGTTTGACAGGTTCTCTTGAGGCAGACATACTCAAACTTATTTAGCTATGTAACTAAGGTCAGGCAACAGTATGTTTACTGCAGGCTGTCTGCCCAAGCACTAACTTAGGTTCCCAAGCAATTTGTGTAGCCCACCCTAACTAAAAAAAAACAAGCCAGTTTGTTATATTTATTTTACTAACAGGATTCATGGCTGTGTTCCATGGAATTCATGTAACACCTACAACCAGTTAAATGTTAGGTAACATCACACAGTATGCTTTAGTCAACACGCCTGGCTCGTAGTGCAGATTTGTGTACAGTCTGCAAACACTTTTATACAGCTGAGAATGCAGTTCGGCAAGTTCCAAAGTATTTCCTACTATGTGCAGTATTAATACAGTCATAATACTGAATTGAATGTAACATTTAAATTCCAACACCAAAAACTAGAGGACTTTCATCTTGGCCTTTCTTCTCTTTCCTCTTTTTTCTAACATATGAAGTATATTTTCTCATACTTACTGTCATTGTTGGAGCCAGTTTCCATAACACCATAAGGAGGAGTGAGAAGTCCAGACATATACTGTCGATATTTCTGAAAGACAGCGATGGCACATTCAGTCAGGTACAGATGTATAAAGCCATTCAATGGGTGATGTGGTATTTACATTTGTGTGCCTGCCGCCTTGTGCTTCACACTCACACAAGCAATCTGAGGCAGATATCTCTTTACTCTTAATGATACAAGACCTGCTTTCTTGACTGAAGCACACTGCCTTTATCAAAAGTTGTGCTAAAACAGTTCCCTCCTTCGTCTTCCCCAAAGCATAACTTTGAAGGTTCTCATAAATCAATATTGTACTTAGTTGTGTGATTTCCCATAAAGGCTGTTTTAAAGCTCATTTGAAATTACACTACTCAGCGGATCTCAAGGTAGAAAGCTACTTTATTGTAGGGATGGAGACAAGGCTGTTAACTAAAGATTAATGAGAATCACGTACCACTATAATGTTGGTGTCAGATTTGAAATATACAGGATTTAGTGCAGAAACTCTAAACATTTAATTCCAACACACTAAGTTTGGTTTTCAGAATTACAAGTTATGAAACACACAAACCTAGCACCTCATGTTATGTACACACACACACATGCAAAAACTTTATCATCACATGAAACTTTCTAACTGTAAAAGTAATGTCCCTTGTACCATTGTAAACTACATAATTGTAATTGATGCCAGTAATTGGTATTTTTCTTCAGTGAATGCTGGTGATGTGATCAATAAGGTTCAAAGCTCTGTCCAGGGCTTAAGAAATTCACAGAAACTGAAAAATAACACCAGGGGGGAAAAAAAAATGTCCTTTTATCAAATAAAAATCATTTACTGATTAAGTGAGACATTTTTGTTTTCAATTATACTATATTACTGTCATGCTTAAGGGTAAACAATTATAATTCCCTTTTGGAACTGTCAGAAAACAAGCCTGTGCAACAGGGATGCTGATGATCAGTGCAAATAAAATGTGTCATGCAGTCATTAGGGTGTACAGTGAGCTGAACGTGAACAACCAACCAGCTGAAATCCATGTAGGTTGAAACCTACACACGTAGCACACGTAATAATTGAGACAGAAAATTTCCTTCATAATACAATTCTAATTTAAAAGTTTTATCCTTTGCTCTATGGAGCCATTCGGATGTATTCACTCTTAGAATGTTGTCTGCTGGATTTTAACAGATGCTTGAATTATCCTTTTAATGTTTCTTTTTCTTCAAAATGGATATGAAAATATCACCAATTCTAGCACTAAAGACTGAATGTCTTGCATTCTAAATAATAACAATAGCTACAAAGATTACATTAATCTTAATAATCCAATCCTATTTTTAGACAAGCGATTACATGCTAAAGCTTAGTAACATATTATTTAAATCTCACCCATAATCCAGCTGAAAACTTGTAGGAGCAAAGCTATGTTATATCCCTGGTCAGTCACATAAAATAAATGCTACTTCATTTGAGGATAAAACTCTTCTATTTTCTTTCCCAAACCACTCACTTTCCCATACTGTCTATCTAGTCCTATGCCTGGAAGTCAGTGAGAGGAAGACTGTGAGAAATAATTATTTTCGCAGTTCAACCAGTGAATAACACGCTTAAAACAAGGGGAAAACTCATTTTTGTTGGCCAAACGAAAAAAGGGAAAACATGTCACAAGGGGTTGAAATAACATTTTATTCAAACAAACTATTTGTTCTACCTTCTACTGAATTTAGTCTGAAATGTGATTTAGAAATGGAAAATTGAAATGTTTAATTTGGGATATGATAAAATCAAACTGTACAGGTTTTTCTCTTTTGTTCTTCCTCATCATTCGGATGGTATTCATTTCTTTGTTCTGTTTTTCTCAAAATAGCATTTTCCCAGAAACACATTATTACTCCACATTTAATTCACCTTGATAAGGAACTTGAATTGTAGGAAGACAGTCACTTTCCCTTTTATTTCTTAGACCACGTTCTCAGTTATCATACACTGCATGACAGTTTCCCTTCTGATTAACTCCCTAATATTTTTCCTGATTGTTCTTCTCATGAAACAAAACATAGAACACACCACAAAATTTCTAAAAGATTTGGGGGCCTAGCTTAACAAAAACACCTTCAGGTAGAATACACTAGAATTGCATGTAACACTTTAAAGGAGGCATCTAATCCCATTCAGCCCCACCTCATGCTCAGGATGCCAAAGCCCATCAGGAACAAAAGCACCGGCTGCCAAGGACTTCAACTCTGCATTTTCCACGTGAAGGTCCCACTCTGCCACGGGATGAGTCTATTATGAGTCAGATACAGCAAGCCTAGTGAGCAGTGTTGCCTGTGAAGGAGTTCAGGCAGCACTACCAGAAGAGGCACTGATTCATGACATGCTCTCAGAAAGCTCAGCTGTTCAGACTCCGCCAGGGGATCTCTGCATAAACGAAACTACCTTCTATATCTGGGTATCTGGAGGGAAGGCTGGTATGACTGCCTACACATGATCTCCTGTGAAGATACCTCAGTGGGGTCCAGGCTGACATAGGAAGTATAATTTACACCTAAAATTGTGTCGCCTCATTAGCCAAGCTAAATGTCAAGGGACACTTTTTTGTCAAGAAGTCAGGGAAACACTGTTTGCTGGGAAACCTAAGTATGCAAAGAAAGACGTAAGTAACTGCATAAAGATTCACAGTATCAGAGGGGGTAATGAAGTTCCAGGCATGAGATCTCTCAAAGCAGAGATAATGAGGAAAACACAATACTGACTGTGAGACCTATCTTGTTACTGTAATGTCTGTAAATGAAAAGAAAATGCAGGAAGTTAAATTATACTGGTAGGTGGCATTTAAAATCATCCTGAAGATTAACAGACCAAATATTTACAAAAGGCTTTTGAAAATGTATTCCACCAGTGGTATGAACTCTGGAAAGGCTTTCCTTATGAAAGAAAACAACAGCTATCAAATCATCATAAGCTTGTTTATTACCAGAAGTCTTCAAGTTCTGTAAATCCAACATGACAGCAGGTTTTAAAACTACACTCAGTGACCTATTCACTCTGTCTCCAGATTCCTACCAATTTATAAACTCCATCATGCAACAGCTTAAAGATCAGACACTTCCTGCACCTAGTCTGACAGCACAAGTAATAAAGACAGTCTTTTTTCTTCCAGTTACTGACCACCTCTTATCCACGCAGTGGTGAAAATTAACACGACCTTTTCAGCCACTGCTACAGCCTAAAGCACAGAAGAGTGCTGACAAGGAACAGCTGGAGATAGGAGAAAAGGAGGAAAGAGAATCACACACTTGTCTCACTGGGGAGGTGCTACGGGTGAATTTTCATACTAATGGTTTTTAAGGCCATTCTTTGTCAGGCTTTTCAGTGTGTTCCTTCACATGCTCTTATTTAGACTTTATTTGCAGTTAGTCTTAGAAGCTTTCATGACTACAATAGATTTTCTTCTACTCCATGAATATAATTTGGCATATTTTCATATGCTAATGTTTAGAAAGGAAACTACTATAATTCTGATGCAAGCTATCTCTAAATTCCGCACAAATTTTTCTAGCATATACAAGGTACACAAAATATGTCTGTGTAGTTAGTCCTTTCTCTTCTGCTGCAAATACTGAAGAGCTAATACCTGTTTAAAGGAAATGAAGGGGCAAAGAAGAGAACTATACAATACAAACACTCCAAAACAAGAAGAAAATAGATGAGCCTTTGGTGTCTTTCATGCGCATGGTGTAGCAAAACCACAGCACTCTAACGGGAAAGACTCAGGACTGATGAAGGGAAGACCATCCGGCTATAAAGCTTTGAACACAGGTGTTCCGCACAAATTTTTCTAGCATATACAAGGTGTTCCACACCAGATACTCCCCAAGTGCAGCAGTTCTCCGGTCAGCAAAGAGTATCTGATGGGCTGTGTAATGAGGACCCAGGTAGTGATGGCTGGTAGCACTAGGGAGTCAAGCCAGGCTTCTGATGCTTCCTCATTCCAAGGTAAACATACATGTGGCCATATACTAGGAAGTGAGTGACTTGTAACATTGGAGAAGGTTTTGTAGACCACAACTAGTGCTTGGTTGAATACATGATCTTTTTCTTTCTCCCCACTCACAATCTCAACCCACAGTGTCACATTTGACCACATGCACTACTGCTGCCTCCTGTTCTGCCTACTCCTGGCAGCAAAGAAGATGACAAGGCAGAGCCTGCATTATTTGCAAACTTGAGAGTAACACGAAATAATTCATTTCAATTGTAGAAATCCTAGACATCAAGGTGCCCTTTCCACACAGGTTTTTCAAAACCTCATGTAACTATTTCATTAGATGCTGTTATTTTGACTATTACCTGAGTTCTGCAATCCTCCTGTACTAGCTGTCCATACTCCTGTAATGGTTTCTCTTGAGGAATATAGGCTGTAGCTTGATAAATGTAGGCCAGCTTCTCTATTTTCTTTTGACAATAAATAATTGATCACTGATGCTCTCAGTACAACTTTGTTCCTCCCCTAAGTTGGCTGCACCAGTCATACCATTTTGGTAACGAATGACCTCCCCTGTAAGCATTACTCACAAGGGTGTGTCACTCCCATGGTGCAACATCTCTTCTTCTCTTTTCTCCAGAACAATAAGGAGAAATGTGAAAGAGCCCCTGAAGATCTCTGGACCCTCTTTTCACCCACCAAACCAAGTAGAGATTGCTGTCTCAAAGGCTAGACCTTCACCTTTAGATCTGATGCTCCAAAGATTGCTCTTCACTGAACTAACTGACAGGCAAAATCTCAGGTCATCCGCCTGCTATTCGGTAGTGTTTTCCAATAAAAAGTGTCTCATGTTCATATACATTTACTATGACAGACAGTATTGTAAGAGAATAGAATTGAGGTAGTTCTAAAAGAAAGGATAAAGACAAATTAGGAAAAATTAATGCTACGATAGTGAAAACATATCCTTATGTATTGTGGAAAAACAGAAAATAAACCATGTGAAGATCTTACCACAACTTACTGAACAGACTGTTTTGT